TGAGGAACAAACCTCCCACTGAAAACAATTAGCAATTTTGCCAATACAAAATGTAGGAATAATTTCTGGCAAGATACTGAAGAAAGTAATAACAAGTAAAGAACTAGATAACTAAAAACTTTTTGTGTTGACTCATGCTGATAATCCCAGCACTTGGGAGGCTGAGGCAGGAGGATCATAAATGTGAGGCCAGTTTGGGCAGATTCTGTCTCATACATACCAACCAAAAGGAATTACCTGAGACTCAGAGAAAAACAAACCAGAGAAATCTGTCCAGTTTTAGAGCTGCTCTTTCCTGAGGCGTCTGCCAGCTCCTAATGAGATGACTAGAAGACTGAGAAGCTGAGCAGATATTTTGCAGGCTTTGTGAGAAGGACCCATGAACAAGGGAGAATTCCCTCTGTGTAAACTCAAGAGCCAGACCCTAGGATTAAGGTGAACTAATGCCCAGCTCCTGACTATCTCAAGGCCTGTACTGCGTTACTATCATATGGAATTGCTGGGCATGGTAGTGCACACCTGTAATCCCAGCACTCAGGAGGCTGAGGCTGAGGCTGAGGCAGGGGGAGCACTGTGATTTCGGGGTCAACCTGGGCTACACAGGGATCAAAGCCAGCCTGAACTGCGTAGCAAGACTCTGTCTCAAAAAGACAAAAAACAAAAACCCCATATGTACATGTATAATAGATTTTATTTAGTATATATTATATATGTGATATATATAAAATATGGAATTGCTAGAGTCTCCAGGAACCCTCTAAAAACACACAGCAAAGGATTATAGCCAGATGTGATGGCACACACCTGTAATCCCAGGACCCTGGAAGGCTGAGGCAGGAGTTCCTAAATTTGAGCCCAGCCCAGACAACGAGGAACTTAGTTTTTTAACATGGGGGACTAGGGTTGTAGCTCACCATGAAAACCAGACATATACAAACAAAAGAAGTATTGCAATTGGGTCAGATGTTTTCATAGTAATTATGATATCTTCTACAATAAGTAATAAATAGGCTTAGATGGGGATGATAGTGCACAGCTATAATCCAAGCATGTGGGAAGCTAATACAGGAGGGTCACCTGGAGTTCAAAGCCAGCCTGGACTACATAGTGAGACCTTGTCTCAAAAAACAAAACAAAACAACAATAATAATAAATAGATTCATAAGCCAGCTGACTCACACCTGTAATCCCAGCACTCGGGAGGCTGAGGCAGGAGGATCATTGTGAGTTTGAGACCAGCCTGGGGTACAGAGTGAGCCCAAGGCCAGCCTGAACTGCATAGCGAGACCCTGTCTCAAAGAGACAAAAAAAAAAAAAAGAAACAAAGAAAGGAATGATCCTCAGCCTTTGTTCCACGGCCTCTGTCCACCCATGTTCTGGACACACTGGCATATTAACTGGGGCTTTCTCAAAAAGGAGAGAGGAGAGGGCGCATGCTAGAACACCTGAGAAGCATCTGCTGAGTGATACCTCCTCTCCCAGGCCCCAGAGAACTCTAGACAATGAGTGCTTCAGGAGAGCAGAGGGACACAGGTGTGCTGTCCCTAGGGAGGCCCTGGTCCACAGTCCTGCCCACCCATTGGCCATGGTCATGCAGAACACAGAGGAGTCTGTGCTGGCCTTGGACCCTCCACCCTGTCTTCAGATGCTTATGTTACTCCGGCTAAGCACGCAAGCCTGGGTCATGTACAAAGAAAAGAAATTTGTTCATTTCATGGTCCTAACGTCCCTGAGTCTGAGTCAGCTGCAGCTGCCCAGAGCCTCAGGCTGCTTCACACCATGGTGGGAGCTCTGATACCTAGAAAAGACCAAACCGGGGGTGCTCTCTGCTGCACAGCCCGACCTCTCCTCAACTAAGAAAGGCACGAATCCTGCTGAAAATCCCATGGCCCCCTAAAGGGCCACCTTGCCCGGTGTGAGCCTGGGTTTGCAAGGACAGGGACCAGGCTCCAGGGCAGACGCTGCCGACCCGGTAACACGGCCGAGAGCAATCTCTAAGCATACGCAGGGCTGGCAGTGCAATATCGTCTGGCAGGCAGAAAGGTAAGGAACATGACCTCTGGAATCTGCCTTCGGAGCGGAGTGGGTGAAGAGTGGAGGACATTACCAAGAGGTGACACGTGGCGAGGTAGAAATTGGGTGATACATGCTGCCTATTTGATTGCAAGTCGCAGAATCGACGTTTTGAAAATTATGCCCCACGAAGTGTGACTTTTATGAAGACACGGGTCTGTATAAAGGAGCTAAAGGACACTAATGCATCTATTTTAAGCCACGGAGAAAGATTCAGAGTCAAGAAAATGACAAGAAGCCCACAAGGTACAATCTTGCCATTTTTCTCTCAACTCTCCTAATTCTTTGTTCTAGCTTTGGTTCTTTCTTTGTTTCTTTCTTTCGTTCTTGTTTGTTCATTTTGTTTTGAGACAGGGTCTCATAAGGTAGTTCAGGTTGGCCTTGAACTCACTGTGTAGCCCAGGCTGGCCTTGGACTGGCATCGATCCTCCTGCCTCAGCCTTCTGAATGCTGAGATTACAGTCCTGTGACATCACACCTGGCTTGTTCTTGCTTTCTGAAGACTGGCTTTGTTTTTTCCAGTTGCAAAGCTGTCTGTGCCACCCTTGCCTGCAGCTTCTGAGTCTGTGGTTTAGGCCCATTCATATCTGGGGACTGAGTGACAATTTTACATAGCCAATTCTAAAGTTCCCACTGAGAAGCCAGTCAGGGGTGTGCCCATGTATAATTCCAGCATTCAGAAGGCTGAGGCAGGAGGACCACTGTGCATTTGAGGTCAGTCTGGGCTACATAGCAGGATTTTGTGTCCAAAAAAGAAAAAGAAAAAGAAAAAAAGAGCCAACAACAACAAAAAAAAAAACCTAAGAAAAATAACCACTAAAAAGTTAGTTTATTGATTTTGATGTGTATGTGGCAGGCTGGCATTTCATTTTGTTTTGCTGTTGAGTCCTATGGAATTTTTGACACCTTAGAAACAAACCTCTGATGTGATCATTTGAGATTATTTTTTTCATTCTGTAGGTTGCCTTTCTGCTCTGTTAATTGTTTCTTCCTTTCTTTTTTTCTTTTTTTTTTTTTTTTTTTTTGTCTTTTTTGAGACAGGGTCTTGCTATGCAGTTCAGGCTGGCCTTGAACTCACTTTGTAGCCCAGGCTACAAACTCTCAACGATCCTCCCACCTCAGCCTTTTGGTACCAGAGATCGAACTCACTGCCGCACGCTTGCCAGGCAGGCGCTTATGCTGCTGAGCTAAATCCCCAGCCCTGTTGTTTCTTGTGCTGTCACAGCTTTTTAGTGTGATGTAGACTGGTTTGTCTATGTCTGCTATTGATGTTTGTGGTTATGACATCACATCCAGGAAATCATCGTCAAGAAAGATGTCAGGGAGCTTTGAAAAACAGGCTCAAGTCTTGACAGACATTCCTCCAAAGAAGACATGTAGAGGCCACACAAGTGTCTTAAAGATGCTCAGTGTCACCAAACAGGCCCACGCCTGTCACCCTAGCCCTTGGGGGGCCTGAGGGAGAAGGATCACTGTGGGCTCAAGGCCGGCCTGTGCTGCATAGCAAGACTCCGCCTCAAAAAGCCAGGAAAAATATTACCAGCCATGAGGAAAATGGAAAACACCACAATGAGCTGTCACCACCCCCATTTGGATGGCTATTGTCACACAGCCAGAGGTTAGTATTGGCAAGGAGGAAGAGAAATGGGCAGTGTTGCACACTGCTGGCCGAAGCACAAAGTGGTGCAGGCCCTGTGGAACAGAGCGTGGAAGTTCTCTAGAGCATCGTGAGTAGAAATGTAATAAAATCCAGCAACCCCACCTGTGGCCACTTATTCAAAAAGCATTGTAATCTGTCTCCGTCTCTCTGTTTCTCGCTATCTCCTTTTTGAGACAGGGTCTCACTATACACTTCAGACTGAACTTGAACTCACTATGTAGCTCAGACGGGCATCAAATGTGTGGCAATCCCCCTGCCTCAGCCTCCTGGGTGCTGAGATCACAGGCTGGTCCCACCATGCCCAGCCAATCTGACTCTCAGGGAGACATCAGTGTTCCAATATTCATGTTAGCATTATACATAATAACAAAGACATAATAACAACCTAAATGCCTCTCAAAGGGTGATAGATAAAGTACCTGTGTAAATAGATTTACACAGTGGAATATTATTCAGCCTTCCAAAGAATGAAATCTGCCATGTTTGACAATATCAATGAATCTTGAGGTTATTACAACAGGGAAAGAGTGGTGATTTCAATGGATAAAATGGGGAGTTGTTAATTTAATAGGCTTAACATCTTAATAAGGGGGGCTGGGGATTTAGCTCAGCGGCATAAGCACTTGCCTTGCAAGCAGGCAGCCGTGAGTTCCATCCCTGGTACCGATAAAAAGAAAAAAAAAATCTTAATTAAGAACAGTAAATAAGTTCTGGAGGTTTTCTATGTGCAGCTCGTTGGCACTGTTTTGTTTTGTTTTGTTTTTGTTAGCACTGTTAATTGCACACTTCGTGTTGCTACGTAGTGCAGGCTGAACTCGCGGCCATCCTCCTGCCTCCAGCCTCCAGCCTCCTGGGTACTAGGATTACGGGCTAGTGCCGTCACACCTAGCATTAAATTTTATTAAGAGAGTAGGTCTCATAGTAAATGTTCTTATCACAATAAAAATCTAAAAGTCTCTAAATCACACCTTTTTCACCTTAATGTAATTGCAAGTAGATAGCAATAAAGCAGATACACTTGTCCCCTGTGTATGGCGAAGTCTCTGTGCTTGGCTGGTTTCTGCTGAAATCAGAAGGAAGGGTTCTGCCCTGTCCTACAGCAGAGACATCAGGGTGTAAAGAGCATGGCAGGGCAGCTGCCTGTGTAAGGGGCAGAGGCGCTGACAGCGGCCGCTCCTCTGGTGGCGTGTCACATCCTGGAATCCTAATCCGCGCTGTCACCAGCTTCCCAACCACCAATCGGTAGGCTGCAGATGTAAAGTCTGGGCTGTTGCCTCAGGACATTTAAAAATAGTTCAGTGCTGTGCATAAGCTAAATATATTCCCCAAATTCCTGTGCTAATCAATTATTTAGCCCTTACAAATGCTAAGATCAAAAACTTTTTAAGAAGTTATATACTTCAGCTTGACAGGAGGCCTTGGGAGACCAGAAGTGAAAACAACTTTCAAGTCTAAAGTGAGTAAAATGGATAAAAATGAGCCTCTTGCAATTATCTGTTACCTAAACAAGGCAAAGAATATTCCTTTGCCACCAGTAGTTAAAAACAAATGTATAATTTATGGGGGATCTATAATTTATACGAAATGTTTTAGTCTTTTAACAAGAAAAGCATTTGAACCCTCTAACAGCTAATAAAAGTACCTTTTGCTTCTGTCTTAAAAGATAATTAAAAAACACTAATTACAACTTTAATCAGCATCATTTTAGCTGCAAACTTACATTTATATGCATACATTTTTTTTTGAGACAGGATCTCACTATGAAGTCTAGGCTGGCCTTCAACTCACTCTGTAGCTCAGCCTGACAGCAAATACCTGGTGATCCTTCTGCCTCAGGAGGATCCTCTTGCTTCATGAGTGCTGGGATTATAGCCACAGACCACACCAGTTTCTATGCATACATTTTAGATTCTTTTTTTTTCCTTTTTTTTTTTTTTTTTTTTTGACAGGGTCTCACTATATAGTTCACTATGGGTTCACTGTGCTGGAATTACAGGCAAGCACTACCACACCCAGCACTACATAAAAAGGAGGATAGCATAAAACATTCCCAGCCACTGAGCTCCCAGTTTCTGCTATTATTATTTTACCTTGGTTTTATGTCTTTGTTGCATTTAACACACAGATATTCGTATTTTATTGTGATTTAAAATCTGTGCTTTGTTCTGAGTTCCCCAATCCAGGGGTGTCTAGGATCCCATCCTAGACAGCATGTTATATTTAACTGTACCACCTTAGGCTTTTCCTGGCTGTCCCACTTGTCTGGCTTTTGCTTGAAAGTTCTGAGGAAAATTAGTTAGGTGTTGAGCTAGTTTGGTTTCCCATCACTGGGGCATGACATCTACTACCCACAGCATAAGGGAGGACAGGGCAAATTTAGCTCACGGTTCAGGGGGTTCAGTTCATGGATGGCTGGCTCCAACACAAAAGCATCATGGCAGAAGGGCCTGGTGGAACAAACTGGCTCACTTCATGGTGCCAGGAAGCAGACAGAGAGAAGAGAGGGATTTGGAACAAGAACACACCCTTCCAGGTTGCCTACCTACCCTGTGACCTACTTCTGACCAAGCCCAACCGCTGAATTCCTGAGACACTTGGGCAACACTTGAGATCTCACCATACCAACTACCATACAGGACGCCCTCTACTGAAATTTGGTGGTTTTCCTTGTGATTCAACTGGGACTAGGGGCTTGGGGAGGAAGACCACAGAGGTAAATGGCTGCTGTCATCAGACAAAACAAGGGCACCTGTGCTCAGCATGACTTCCACCGTGTTGTCAGGTTTTCCACTGTAAAGTGACTCTGTTTTTGCCTCGTCTCTTTGCAGGCCGTGGAGGGAGTCACCATGTGCATCCCCTGCGTGAGGAGCTGTGTGGCACTTTGGAAACTCAGGATGCAGATAAGCAGGTGAAAGCCTCTCACGGGAGAGACTAGTCCCATCCCCTTTGGTCTTTCACTTTATCACTTACGAAGAATGAAGGAAAAACGCGGTGCAGGGAATGAGAAAGGAACCACAATGTGCAACCTCCCACGGGGAATGCAGTCATGCACTGCAAACAGGGACAGTGAAGGTAAAAATTTTTTAGAAATAAAAATATGGTGCATGTTTAAGTTAAAAATGTATTACAGTAAAAGACACATGGCGTGAGTCCTCAAAATCCTTACCCTCACTTCCTGTACTTGTCGCTTTTCTGCCTTTTTTAAAAATCCTTTTAAGGCAGGGCCTCACTATGAGGTTCAGGCTGACCTTGGGCTCACTTCATAGCTCAGGCGGGTCTTGAACTGCAATGACCCTCCTGCCTCAGCCTCCTGAGTGCTAGGATTACAAGTGCATACCACCATTTCCAGGGGTAAATCTATTATTAGTCAGCTCCTTAATTTCTCCATCTTAACCACAGAGGATTAAATGTTTAGTTTGATCAGTATGTGTCATGTCTAGAGCAGTCCATGATGTAAGGAACATTCTCATTTTTAGAGACTTATCTTGTTTTGGCCCTGTTCTCTTAAATTATCTGCCCATGTGGTTTTAGCTGTCTGTCTCCCCCGCCAACCCGACATCCTATTCTTAGAATGGGCATATCTGAATAGACCCCATGTTTCCTGTAAAATAATGTCATTTCCCACTGTCTCTGCTTTACTCCATCAGAATTTGTTTTATTTAATGGTCTCTCTAATTTAACATTCCCCACAAAGCATACCAGGCTTGGTAGTTCATTTCTGTAATCCCAGCACTTGGGAGGCTGAGGCAGGAGGATCACTGGGAGTTCACGGCCAGCCTGCGCTACAAAGCAACACCCTATCTCAAAACAAACAGACAGAGAAAATTTAGCCTAGGCAATTAGTTACATGAGAGAGGAACCAGAGCAGAGAGAGCAACAAGGAGACAGGACAGGTGCAGCAGCATAGACATGGGGACAGAGGAAACCTTCACCACCCCCCAAAACTAGAGGGATGTGAAAATGAGGTGTAAGCTCAGGTATCACTCGGCAGAGCTGGGGCTGTGGCAGAGGGACCTAGACCTGTGGAAGAGCCTCAAAACAGAAGTAGAGAGGAAACTACATCTGGCCTCTGTCTTCCCTCTGGCCCCGCAGTGGCTAAACTCCGAAGGTCCTCCCCAGACCCAGGAATGCGGTTTAGAAAGGTCAGCCTGCTCCCCGCCAGGCCCCCTGCCTGCCCTGCCCTGCCCTGTCCTGTCCTATCCAGAGACACAGGCAGAGCCAACAGAAGAGGGAAATGAACCCTGAGTGAGCACAATGAACCACAAATTCAAAATGAAACCATTTTCCGAAGAACAGACAGTGCAAGGAAGTGTCATGTGTTAGAGTCATTGCATGTGCAAGGGACAAAATAGGGGATGAGAAATGGCAGCAGCTGGGCCTGGTGGCACACGCCTGTGACCCCAGCAGTCTGGGAGGGTGAGGCAGGAGAGTCACATGTCAAGCCCAGCCCAGGCCATTTATGGACTTAGTGAGATCCTAATGCGAAATTTTTTAAAAGTCAGAACTATTTTTTTAAAGTTAAAGAGAAATATGCCTCACTTTATCCCTTTACCTTATTTTTATCTTTTTTTTTTTTATCTTCTCTCTTTTCCAGGCGATTTCTTTCTCTCCTCTGTAGATCACCAGTCACCACATTAGTTTCTGTTTTATTTTTCCTGGTGTTTTTTTGTTTTGTTGTAGCAGGAATCAAACTCAGAACCTCACGCTTGCTAGGCAGGCGCTGTGCCATTGAGCTATATCCCTGTCCCTCTTCCTGTTTCTTTTTATCCATACAAGCAGAAATATACTTTGTGTTTTCTCATTTCTCCTTTCTTTTTTCTTTTTTGGTTTTTTGGGACAGGGTCTCACAGTGTAGTTCAGGCTGGCTTTGAACTCATGGTGTGGCCCAGGTTGGCCTCGAACTTGCAGTAATCATCCTGCCTCAGCCTCCCAAGTGCTGGAGTTACAGGCATGAGCCAAGATGCCTGGTGTCTTCCTTCCTGTGTTAAAAACAGATACACTTGCCACTGCATTCCTCCCCTGACATTCTGTCCTGGAAGTTGCCCCATAAGAGTGCATAGACTTCACACTGTCCTTTTCCATAACTGCATTGTGCTCCATCTGTATAGCATATTTAATTTGACTACTCTGCTATGCATGAACATTTACCCCATTTCCAATATTTTACAATTGCAAACAATGCCATTCCCTTAGTTAATTTTCTCGTTGCTGAAATGAAATACCCAACATCTGATGTGAAAGGAGGAAAGATTTATTTGGCTCACAGTCTGTAGAGGTTTCAGTTCATAATTGGCTGGCTCTAGGGCAGAATAGCGTCACAGAGAAAACCTGGTCTCAAATCATTAAAATTGAAGGACTCACAAACTATGTTATGCAAGTTGTCTACACAGACCAGGGCCTGCTAATGGACCTCACTGGCCCTGCTGACACACAATCTTCATTAGGAGGAGAGTAGGCAGTGAGGAACTCATTTAGCCCAGAGCACCTATTCAGCTGTAAAGGCATCCTCCTCAAATATTGATTAGCTGCGAGGGAGGACCTCAGAGTCTCACTTTATAGCTCAGGCTGATATTGTGCAGCTCTAGGGATGGTATACTGAGTAGTACTGGTCTTAAGCCTACTATATAGTCCAGGCTGGCCTCAAATTTGTAGTAATCCTCCTCCCTCAGCCTCCTGAGTGCTGGGGTTACAGGTGTGCATCACCATGCCAGATTGTTAGTCTACATTTAATATTTATACTTGGGTAAATGCTTGTATATGTATGTTATGTATAGGAAGGTCACAAAGCAAGATGCTGCTAGTTCAGGCACAAAATATTGTTATTTTGTGAAAAAAACTTATTTCCATACTTTCTTCTGCAGGTCCACACTCCATTAGTATCCTTTTGAGATCATATATTTAACCATTTAGTTTCCATAAACTCTTTCCCATCTGCATTTAAATATACCCTGGTCTTTGATTTCTTAAAAAATATAAAAATTCAGGGCAGGGGGTTTAGCTCAGCAGCATAAGTGCCTGCTTGGCAAGTGCAAGGTCATGAATTCGACCCATGGTACCAAAAAAAAAAAATTATATATATATATATACCCTTTTTTGGTACTATTTTTTAACCTGTGTATATTTTAAATATTATTTACCTCCTTCCTTCACAGCCAATTTTTAAGAGGAATTATCTGAACACATGGTCTCCACTTTCTATTTTGTATTATTCTATCAACCTGTTACAATCTTGTAAACAAAGTGACTTGGGCCAAAATTGTGCCTCAGTTCCTCATCAAGAAACAATGATAATTCCTGAATCTACGTGAGGACTGTGAGGACTAACACTATTATGGGTGAAGTACTTTGGTTTTTGTTTTTTTGTACTGGGGATTGAACTCGCAACCTCACACTTGCAGGCAGGCGCTTATGCTGCTGAGCTAAATCCCCGGCCTATATATGAAGTACTTTGGATAATGCCTGACAACACATTGAGCACTGTGTGTTAACTATTATTATAATAATAATTCCTAATAACATAGCTGCAACAATGTAAAGCTAAAAGAATTGAAGAGTGCCACTTTCACAATTTTGCTCAAAAAAACAACAGATACAGCTGTTGGAAAGTGAGTTTCAGGAGCAGTTCCAATAAAAGACATAGTGAGTTGTGAACTCCATTCAGGCCTGTGTCCTGTATTGGGTTCCTGGGCCCGATACACGGTATATTCTACACACCCACCCACCCCCACACACACATACACATACACACTACTCCTACTATTAGAATGTTATATATGGTATGTAAAAGTGCATATAGTATTTATGATACAGAAATTATAAATATAGCCAAGCGGAACAGAATTCATCTCCTTCAAAACAGAACCTGGTAAAGAAAGGTTTTTGCCCCAGATGGGACACTGTAGCGTAAAGCTGGGAGGCGGAATCAATGGGCTCTTATCTTTCCAGCCCCTCGGAATTTACCTGTGGCACGAAATGAATACCAATGGGCTACCTGTGCATCATTAATGCCCCTTAGGCACCACCCCAAACCTAAGCTACATGTATGCCCCATACCACGTGTCTGGCAGAGAGAATGCCAGACCCTGGAGGGTCAGGGGGGGTCTCTCCCCACGTTCTTAAAATAAAGATCCATTTTTATTTCATACTTACCTTTTCAGCTGCGCCAAAATCCTATCAGATGGTTCCCTTCAGCACCGAAAAATTCTATCAGTAAATCTGCAGGCTATGCATATTTTTATTTTATTTATTTATTTATTTATTTTGTCTTTTTGAGACAGGGTCTTGCTGTGCAGTTCAGGTTGGCCTTGAGCTAACTTTGTAGCGCAGGCTGGTCTCGAACTTGCAATGAACTTCCTGCCTAGGCCTCCCAAGTGCTAGGATTACAGGCGTAAGCCACCACACCTGGCTCGAGCTATGCATATTTTTAAAGTTCATTTAAATTAAATATACTTTTTACTGCCCCCCATTAACCATGACCCATCTGATGCTTTTGACCCGAGTGAACGAAAGAGGTTGCTTGCTCAATAACTGTACTGTTTGATAGTTTAAAAATCAAGTTACACGATGCTAACTTTGTCTAATACCAGGAAGCAAAGGGTGAGACTAAGAAGACCCAGCACTCGCTGTCGTAAGTCTCCGAGGAAACGTAAAAGCACGCCCTAGGGGGCGCAGGAGATGACGTCACCTACAAGGGGGGCGCCGACAGCCTTTTGCGCCTGCGCGCACCTCCCCGCCTGAGAGTCGGCGCAGTGCGCACGCGCGCGCTGTGCGGAACGGCTGCGGGTGTGTCGTATTGCTTGAGTCCCTTGCGTCGTCGGTAAATGGCGTTGGTGGCGGGAAAGTTGAGTCTCTCGTGCGCCCAGTCTTTGGGGCGATGTGTAGTGACTTCCGTAGGGCTGAGTCTGGCAC